GGTTCCATCTGTATTGGCACTTACCATCCTGATTCCAAACTTGGGTGGGGGTGTGCCAGAGGGCACAGATGCAAAGACCAGAACTTGTTTTGCTATGGTGGCCTCTTCAGCATCTCACTTCACAGAGCCCTAGAGAGGAGTTTTCAAGAATGTACTGTCTCTAAAAGAATGTGAGATGTTTAAAGAATGTAATGATTACAAATCAACAAAAGCTGTTATAAACTTCAGCCACTTTTAGTTCTACCCACCAAAAGGTTAATTAAGAAATGTGGGACTACATTTCAGAGTTTATCTGCTAAGATAGTACTCCAAATCAACTGTTGAGATGCAATAGCATGGGAGAGTGCAACTATTTTTTAATTCAATGCTCCTTTAAAAAAATCCTTTTTCACCCTCCATCTTGCCAAAACTGTGGTTCTCAAGAAATGCTGTGCATCAGAACCACCTGGAAGGCTTGTTATAGCACAAATGGCTGTAGAGTTTCTTATTCAGTAGCTCTGGGGTGATGCATGAGAACTGACATTTCTAACAATTTCCCAGGTGATGCTGAGGCTGCTGGTCCCACGCCACACTTTGAGAAGCCCTTGCCCTTACGTCTCGTCTTTAGTTTCACCAGGACTCGACCTGCTTAAGGTTTATTATTGAATATTAAATTGCCTTTTCATCCCAATTACTTAGTTGCAAAGTGCTAATAGTTTCAATAATTGGTAAAGTTGTACATGAATAACTATGTAAATAAAAGGGCATGCTTTAATCTGCAAATTTTGACTCAGTACTCAAGAAGCAATTAAGATCCCTTACATCAACTTTCATAATAATTTTACTGTAAAATTGAGTTATTTAGAACTTGCTTATCATATTAACATGTTTTTATCACATTCCAATAGCAATTTTAGTATGTCATTTTACCTATCACGACACTGATGCAGGGTATTTGTGAACTTTAAGAATAAGTCTACGTATAATTCGGAAACTGTTAAAACTGATAAAGGAATTCAATAAAGTTGCAGGATACGAAATCAACATACAAATTTCAGTAGCATTTCTGTATACTAATTATTATACTGTCCAAAAAGGAAATTAAGAAAACAACCTTATTTAGAATAGCAACAACAAAAAGATTAAATACTCTAGTGTAAATTTAACCAAGGAGGTAAAAGGCCTGCATACTAAAAACTATAAAGCACTGATGAAGAAATAGAAGAAAACATATAAATACAAAGATAGTCTGTGCTCACAAATTGGAAGGATTAATAATGTGAAAATGGCCACACTACCCAAAGTGATCTATACACTCAGTACAATCCCTATCAAAATTCAAATGTCATTTTTCACAGAAATAGAAAAAAAAATTCTTAAATTTGTATGGAACCACACAAAACCTTGAAGAGCCAAATCAATCTTGAGCAAAAAGAACAAAGCTGGAGGCATCACACTCCCTGATATCACAACATATTATAAAGCAATCATATCAAAACAGTAGGGCACTGGCATAAAAGCAGAAACGCTGACCAATGGAACAGGATAGAAAATGCAGAAATAAACCCACACATTTATGGTCAACAGATTTTTGACAAAGATGTCAAGCAGACGTAATGGGGAGAAGACAGTCTCTTCAATACATGGTGCTGGGAAAACTGGATATCCACCTGTGGAAGAATGAAATTAGGCCCTTTTCTTATACCATATACAAAAATCAACTCAAAATTGATCAAGAACTTAAATGTAAGACCTGCAGCTGTAAAACCAACAGAAGAAAACATAGGGGAACAGCTCCATGGCATAGGTGTGGGCAATGATCTTTCAGATATGACCCCAGAAGCACAGGCAACAAAAGAAAAAATAGACAAATGGGATTACATCAAATTAAAAAGCTTCTGCACAGCAAATGAAACAATCAGAGTGAAGAGACAACCCACAAGCTGAAAGAAAATATTTGCAAACCATACATCTGATAAGGGGCTAATATCCAAAATATATAAGGAACTCAACTCAATAGCAAGAGAACAAACAACCCAATTACAAAAATGGGCAAAGGATCTGAGCAGAACTTCTTCTAAATGAGAGACATGAATGGCCAACAGATATATGAAAAATGCTCAACGTGTCTAATCATCATGGAAATGCAAGTGAAAACCACAATGAGATGTCACCTCACATCTGTTAGAATAGCTATTATAAAGACAAATGATATCAAGTGTTGGTGAGGACGCAGAGAACAGGGAACTCATGCATTTTTGGTGGGAATGTAAATTAGTGCAGCCATTATGGAAAACCATAGGAAGCATCCTAAAAAAAAAAAAAAAAAAAAAAAAAAAAAGGAATAGTACTACCATATGACCTAGTAATCCCACTTCTGTGTATGTATCCAAAGGAATTGAAATCAATACGTCCAAGGGGAATCTGCACTCCCAGGTTCATTACAACACCTTTCATAATAGCCAAGATATAGAAGCAATCTAACTTTCCATCAATGGATGAATGGATAAAGAAAATATGGCATATATACACAATGGAATAGTATTAAGCATTAAAAAGGGGGTGGGTCCTGTCATTTGTGACAACATCGATGATCCCAGAGGATATTATATTAAGTGAAACAAGCCAGGCACAGAAAGACAAATATTGCATGATCTCACTTATATGTGGAATCTAATACAATTGAACTCACAGACATAGAGATAGAATGATGGTTACCAGAGACTGCAAAGGGGAGAGGAAAGGGGTGGGGAAGAAGAGGATGGGAAGTTGTTAATCAATGGGTACAAAGTTTCAGACAGACAGGAAGAAGAGGTTTAGAGATCTACTGCACAGCAGGGTGACTGTAGTCAATAATAATATTATATATTTCAATAATAATATTACATATTTCAAAATAACTAAGTATATTATATATTTCAAAATACCTAAGAGTAAATTTTAAATGTCTCACTGTGAAAAGTGACAGGTGAAGTGATGGATATGTTAATTAGCTTGATTTAAACATGCCACATTGTATACATATAACAAAATATCACACTGTACCCCATAAATGTATACAATTATGGTTTAGCCATCAAAAATATTAATAAAAAACTCTGCCAGCAAAATTATAGAATAAATCTATGTATAATTCAACAGCATAAATTTTGCTATTAAATAAAAAACATTTACCTTTTACATACTATGCATATCATTACTGCTGGGAAAGACCTATTTTTGGTTCTGGTTTTATTCCAAGTTTGCCCAGCAGACTGCTATAGAACCAGCATCTTTGGTTTCAGGTTGCTTTGTCAGTAGTGGAAATGGAGTTTATCCACAACCTCTCTCCCACTCCTTTTGGTGACCCACAGCATGGGGATTTTACATGATGGTCGAGTGGACTCTATACTTTGTGGCCACAGGTCAAAACTAATTCACAGATTACATTCTGAGCCCTGGTGCTCTTCATCACAGACTCTTTTCCTTCTCCAGAATAAACTTAGAGGACCCTTACCCATTGTAAGATATTATGACTCTACGCCCTATCTTTTCTACTCTAGAGGGCTTTGTAAAGCATGGGGTAAAGCAATTCTCAAAAAGATCTGGATATATAAATATGCATTATTACAAGAAGGCATTTCTCTTGAGGGTGTAGAAAGTAAATCAAACTGACTGCAAAATCTAGCAAAGCAATACTTAAAAGTATCAACTTACTTGATCAAGAACAGCAGTGGCCTTCCAGAAGCCCAAGATTCTCTTTGTCAACTTCTTTCATGTAGAGGTTTATACTTATGTAATTGGTATTAAGCAAGTCTTTTGGAAAATTTGTTGGTAAAGTATATTGAGAAGATGAGGGTGGGTGATATTTATTAAATACATGCTATGTACTAAGTACTTCACTGATACGCCCTTGAGTCCTTACAATCACCCCTCAGGGTAGATATTTATTACTCCGTATCTTTTACCAAAAGGAGACTGTGAAACAAGCATTTAAATGCCAGGGTTTTATTTGAGAGATGAAGGAGGCACCAAAGAGGGGTAAGGAAGTGAAATTAAAAGGCAAGGCAGTCAACACAGCATGGGTTATCAACCAGCTCACACTGTGGGCAGCCGAAGCCTGCAATGTAGAACATGACCACCAGAAGAATGAAGCTGGGTATTTACACACCAACTCCCTTAAATCCTTGGGTGAGAGCTGTTCCACAGGGCATTGATTCTACAACACTTAGCATGCCATGTGGATGGAAAAGCAGGCTCCAAATTCAAGAGAAAGTTTTCATGCAAGTGTGGTTGGTTGGAATTTACCTGGTGAACAGCTGGCCAGATGTGTTACATGGAGGCTTCTAGATTGAAACCCAGGACTGACTGCAGAAGAAACCACTGCTTTCTTAATCATGTCTTTCTAATACAAGTCTTTCCCAGGTGTTCCATGATTGAGTGAAATTTTAGATTGAGACCACAAGGTTTTTTGGAATGGCAACTTCCTATATCCTCTCTAGAGCGAGAAAAGCCTCTTTAAGAATTAGCTGTAAATTTGGCCTTAATGTTCCACGTTAAAGCCAACTGTTTATAATCAGCTGACTTTTATGTTTTGTAGAGGCCCTGTATTTACTGGGTCTCCCATTCATTTCACATGTTCTTTTTTTTCACATGATATGTCCATGATCCATACGTGGAAGGAAACAGGTGGGAAGCCCATTCTGGGTACCAAGCAAAGAGCAAAGGCACATGCCTTGTGAAAGGAGGAGCCTCCAGCAGAGCTCAGCCAAGAGTGATTTCATGCAAGCACTTCTCTAAGTCCTTCATTTTTGACTCATGCCTCTGCCTTTTTAATGCGATAGGGACCTGATTCCCTCCTGCTGCCTCCCTAACCCCACTTCTAGTGGCTTAGATGTGCTCTGGCAGACAGCCTGCAAATAATATTTCAAAGTCTAAGCATATAATGTTTGCTCACTTAATGTAAACAACAGAGAACTAAATATGAACTTTGGCAAAAGTCTATTAATAATTGACAAATAATGGAACGCTTGGTGAGGAAGGCAATGCATGAAAAAATAATAAAAACAAAAACCAGCACCTGCAGTTGCAATAACCCATCAAAATGTTCACTCGCCTAGTTTGCATCAATGATTATGAACAGCATGCTAAAGCAATACTTCAAAAGTCTGTATATGACTATTACAGGTCTGGGGCAAATGATCAGGAAACCTTGGCTGATAATATTGCAGCATTTTCCAGGTAAGGAAATTAATTTTTTTAAATTGTGTTTTAGAATGATACAAAGATATTGTACTAAAATAAGATTTCCTAGTTTTATGTTGATGGTGTGGAATTATTTGTCTAGATTTGTGCTTAGTCGAGAGGAAAAAATTCTTAGAGCTGTAAAAAATCTTGGGCTTTTAAATTATTTTAAAATATTCCGAGCTTGGGAATCTTGAACAATGGACTGCAAAAGCTAAAACTACATTTTGTCACTTGGAAGTATGATGATAATTAAACTACACATAAAAATAGTGATAAATTCTGATAACTCCATGTCATTTTTCTTTGGTACAGCAGTAGGTTCTTATGTTCATGGCATAGGAAACAGCATGAAATGCAAGATAGCCGTCTTATCTGATTGGACCAGATCAGATCGTTGTCTCAAATGTCCCCATCCTGCTCATTTTTTGTGTTATCATTCATTTTGATTTTTGTCTAAACTTTTACTTTAGATTTCAATTTGTCTGTGTAGCATTAATCTTTCAGCTTTGCTGTTTCATCTCTCCTCCAAAGTACTTCATCTCACTTCTCAAATTACTTTTCCCTTGGCTTTCATATTTCGAAGCACAAGATGGGGGGTGTCATAGTTTATATTTTCTTTTTATAATAAAAACAAGAAATAAAATAGTTTTAAAAGGGTGTTTTTCGCTTAGCAGTTACACAAGTGGTTTATTTGCTGGAGTAGCGGAGGACAGGCTTCAATGTGTTACCCTCTTTTATTCTCATCCATTTTACATTATAATCCTTAGTAAAGCCAAAGAATATTATGGATACCCTTTGATGGTGATAAATTAAAGAAAAAGAGGCAAAAAATATCCAGGGGGAGAGCATCTGCCTTCCTTTCTGAATCTTTTCCTTAGTCCAGATCAAAATCACTTAACATCACTTTTCTAGATATAAATCAGGAGAAATGAAATCATTCTAACCAAGGTGGTCCCTGGCAGGCAGCACCGACTGACCCATAAATCAGTGTAGGAGCCTGAGAATGGTGATGGGTTGAAGAGTGGGGCTTCTGAGCCCAAATGAGCTCAACACATGCTGGAGAGGTCATGGGAAGGGGAAGTTAGCTAAGAGTGGAGGGGCTCAAAATTCTGCATGAACTTTTCCAGTCATTATTTAATATTTTGGGCCTGTTCTAAAGTTTTTGCTCTTGGAAAATATCCCTTCTTGGGTCCTTATCAACTCTATTCACCAGGTAATGTGGCTTGCCTACAAGTGGCCTTCTGGAAACAACACCTTAACCCCAAGTAGGTCATTGTAACCAACGAAGTTTCAGACCCTTGGCAGACTTACGGGGTTGGCATGTCAGCACTGCTCAGGTCACAATGCCCAGGTGAACACCTATTCCATTTATACACAGCTGACTTCAACCCTTAACTCACCCCACCCCATGCTAATTAACTAACTCAGGCTTATTAGGAGGCTCCATAGGCTAGACTCTGTTTTACATACTGAGGACAGAATCATGAGCCAAATTCCTGTTCACGGGAACTTGCATTCCAATGGATGCCCATTGACCTCCATGATGCTGATGGGTTGAATCGATGCAAAATGGACCCAAAACATTTTGCCCAGTGGAGGCCTCAGAGAGGGAGCAAAGGGGTACAGCAAAGCAGGCAGAGCACCTCCATAACCCTAGACATTCTAAAAACTTTGAGAGGCATAGAAGGCTTGGTGACTTCCAAGTTGTGAACTCAAAAAGTGCCTCATGGCTTTTGTGAGTTACATGGTGCTCAAGTGATGACTGAGTAACTTAAGGACAGATAAATAATGCAAGTGAGGTTGCAAAGCCAACTTCTAAATGAATCTCAGTCATTCTCTTTTGTTCAGCCTTAAAGGAAAAAAAGGTATTAATCAACTGTCTTTGGAGGACAGCTGATGCTATGTTATTACCAACTACTTGATAATACAACAAATGCTAGGGGCTGTTACTGTCTAACATGTCAATTCCTCTTTTGCAGTGTGACTTGCTGGGTCATTCTTGCTTCCTCACCCTGTGTCATGTAGCTTATCATGTGGCTTTCTACCAGGGTTGTCATGGCTTTGTGTTGATGACATAAAGGAAATCAACCTGAAATTTCTCATTCTGTTTCAAAAAAAGGCTGCAAAACAACCACGCCTCAGATAACCTGCTGTGACCCAGGACAGGGTATTTCAGAGATGTTTATGAAATTTCTGCACCTCCCCTTCCCACAAGTACAACAAAAGGTCATTCACAGTGACAGCTTTTATCTCTCTCTACTCAGCTCTGATAATCCCATTTTGGAGTTCTAGGGACAGGACCACTCATGTGAACCAGCAGTTGCTTGTAGACATTTCTGGGAAAGGCTTGAGACTCTAATATTAATGTGGCCAAAGGGGGGGAAAATGACTAAAGGATAAATAAAAGGAACCATCCAGAAGAATGAAATTTTCTACTGCAAAAATGTAAAGAACAGGGCAAATGTCTGCAGGCTACATTTCGTGTGGCCTGACCTGATTGGGGTTAATTTGAAAAAGAACAGTATTTTGTTTCTCTTACACATTAACTCAGAGTAGCCTTCTCAACCATAGTATGAACGTATTTGTGGCTTTTTATCTGAAATTATTTTTGATGGTAAATAATTCTGTAATCTGGGCATTTAGAAGCTCTATGATTTCAGAAAAGGAAGCTCTTCTATTTTCATCATCTATTGACATTGAAAATTGTGTAGTTTTCTTTTAAATAACAGATGGGTAGAAGTGATACCATTCTCTTGATGTAATAATATTTGAGAAGCAATATAAACTCACCAGTGGCATTTTTAGTGTTCTTATACATTCTCTTTGTATCATATGTTTAAATGTTTAGAGTAAAAAATTAATGTTTGAAGTTGGAATGCAGTATGATAGTATTGTAGAACTTACAAAACATTAATTCACTGTGTTCAGTTGCTGTGATTCAGCAATAGCATACAGGTTTAAAGCTGGACGACAAGTGTCTTCTTTCAACAGAGCAGCCACATCTTGGGGAGTATATATATTACCTAATTCTTTGATAAGTTAAATCAGAGGCCTATGTCAGATGTAAAGAATGGGCCAAAAGTCCTGTTAAAGGATTCCCACCTTTACTGTACTTCCTTCAACAGAGCAGCCACATCTTGGGGAGTATATATATTACCTAATTCTTTGATAAGTTAAATAAGAGGCCTATTTCAGATGTAAAGAATGGGCCAAAAGTCCTGTTAAAGGATTCCCACCTTTACTGTACTTCCTTTACTCAGGCATCTTATTTTCTATCCTTTAAAAAAGATTTATTATTCAGTTGGTTCCACTGTTTTGTCAATCTTCAAATACTTTTTCCAAAGTGGAGGCCCCATGAGAGCACAGTCCAAGGTTAGAGAGTGGTACTAATTTATGTATGATTGTGGGAAAGTTACTTAAATTTGGGATGGAGTCTGGTGAGGCTTAGAAAGCTGTTAGAATTACCCTACGAGTTATTTTAATTGCTATTTGGAGAATATGGGGGAGGACGCTTTAAAGAACCTACATTCTCTCATTGCATTGATTTAATCTAATCTGGTGTACGAATTGCATTTTGTGCATGGTTTGATGAGTCTCTGTAATATCCTCGGAACAGAAAATAGTATTTACGGAGAAGCAGGAGCAGTTATTAAAGTGACTGCGCCACCAAGTGGACAAGTTATTAAAGTGACTGCGCCACCAAGTGGACAAGTGTAAAGCTACTGTCTGGACAGAGAAGGAGTGAGCCTTGCACACACACACACACACACACGCACGCACACACGCACACACACACACACACGCTGCTGCCTTTCAGCTTTGTGAATTTTCGTCATAAAAGCTTTCATTGTTTCTCCAGCTCTCAGTAAATATTACTGAGAAACAAGTCTTCCAAAGCTGGCATGGCAATGGCTGCTATTAAAACCATTTTCTCTCATTCTAATAGCACACTTAGAGAAGATTGGTAATAAAAACTCTCTTCAAGGCGTCTACCTCTCTTCCTTAAAAAATGGAGATCAAAGAATCATGCCGTGAGGGTCAGTAGAGAAGAAAAGACTTCCAGGAACAGGGCATGTGGTGTGACATAAAATAATGACAATTATGATGTTCAAAGGGACAGCTTAGAGATCGCACAGTAAAACTTCTTTATTAAGCTTTTCAGGGACTGGATATTTTTACTTCATTATGTGAGGAAGGGTTAGATTACAGACCCTTCCTTATTCTACAAAGCAACATGAAGGCAGAATTTCTTCTTCCACGAAAGGAAATATGCTTCAATTAAGGACTTATTTTTTTTTTGGTTACTCCGTTACTAAATCATTCTTCACTCTATTTACTGAAAAAATCTTTATCTCTCTGGAAGCAGAGTTAAATCTAGGTAGTGAAAGGTGTGTGCTGGTTAGATACATGTACGTCCATACAACATGTTTATTATACTAATTTGCAGTAGACATAGGACTTCTTCAGAACTAATCAGGTACTAATACAAAGAACAATAAACCCAAACAAATAGGAGATATAAATTTTGCTGGGAGGAAAGTGAATGAGTTCTCCTGTAAATTTGGCTAGTGAATTTTTGTTGGTTTACTGGTTATTTTCATTCCAATACAGAAGTCACAGAAAAAAGTCATTTAAAATAATTCCTAGAATTCAAAAACTCTTTAAGCCCCAAATTTTGTCAAATAACATTCTTGAGGAAACTGTTCAATTAAACTAAAAAATGTATATTGTCTTAATCATCACATTTCAGTGGATACAGCATTCAGCTCGAGATTTTGATTATAATTATAACCATTTTATGATGTTAAAAGTAATTGCCTAAAGCTCCCATCCATTGTATAAAAAGGCAAAGTAGACATAGCATATCTTCTATAATCTGATCTCTATGTCTTTGCATACCATCTTCAAAATGGCTTTGAGGAAGTGAAATTAAAACCATGTTCACACAAAACCTGTAAGTAAATGTTTATAGTGACTTTATTTATAATTGCTCCAAACTGGAATCACTTCAAATATCCCTTAATTTGGGAATGAATAAACAAATGGTGGTACCCTGTACAACGGAATACTATGCATCAACCAAAAGGAATAAACTATTGGTACACGCAACAACATGGATGAATCCCAAATGCATCTTGCTAAGTAAAAGAAGCCACACTCAAAAGGTTACATGTTTTTATGGCTCCATTTATACGATATTCTGAAAAGCAAAATAAAGGGACAATAAAGCAGATCAGTGCTTGTCAGGGGATTGAGGTGGGGAGAGAGTTTCACTACAAAGGGAAATAAATAAATTTTTGGAGTGATTGAACCATTCTAGATCATGATTATCTTGGTTGCTACACCACTGTGCACATGTGTCAAAATTTGCAAAACTGTACACTGAAATGGGTGAATTCTGCTGTATGTTAATTATATTTTAATAAAAAAAATTGCTTGGAAAATTTATTATCTTCTTATTGTTAACTTTCCATCCTAAGAAACATTAATATTGCCTCTTTCTCTTTAACTTTGTAAAATAATTCGCTTGATAGAAAATAATCCAAAAGAATTTTCTCTTTTTAAATAAAACATGTCAGAGATTTGGTTATGCTTTTGAAATTCTAATTTTTTTTTTTTAATTCTAGATGGAAGCTGTATCCACGAATACTCCGGAATGTTGCTGAGATAGACCTGTCGACTTCTGTTTTAGGACAGAGGGTCAGCATGCCGATATGCATTGGGGCCACTGCTATGCAGTGCATGGCTCATGTGGATGGGGAGCTTGCAACTGTGAGAGGTAGGAAAAAGGTCCTTACCACAGGGACAGGAGGGGACAACCCAGCATGTCGCAACTTCCTTCTCTGTATGCATCCAGCAAACAGTTCCCCAGATGTTTTTACACTCCAGAGAAATTAAGCTCATTGACTCTGCCATCAAAATGCAGTGTTCTTGCATGTCCTGCTCCTTTATTTTCCAGCTGTGTGACTCTGGACAAGAGACTCTCTCTGTGCCTTGGTTTCCTCAGCCATAAGCGGGGATAAAAATGGTAGCTACCTCATTGGGTTACTGTGAGGATTGAACTAGTTCACACATATAAAATGCCTGGCACAGAGTAGCAGCTTGTAAGTATTACCTGCGGTTATATCAGGAAATTAATATCAACATCTCAGAAAATGTAGGTCTGGGAAATGGATTCATCCAAGGTCAGAGCTAGTTGGTAGCAGAGGTGGGATTCGAACGCATGGCTACATTATCTCAAAGCTCTTCTCTTTCCCCCAAACCAAAATGATTCTCACAGTGAAAGTTTGAATGCAGTAACTTGGTTGGGTGTGTTTTCTGCTATGGTTTAAGATCATGATTCTTTTTAATGGATGGGTTATATTCTGAAGAGAGCATTTCCGACTGCCTTAGAAAAGGCTGATGAGAAAACCAAATATGATGTTAAAAATCTCTTATTAGCACTAACTTATTAACTTCCCAGTCCCCTAGCACCTATAGTATTTGAAAGGTTATGCATAGTGATAAATCTCCCCAAATTCTGTTTCAGAAACTCGTATAAAGTTGGCAATGAATTCTACTTGATATCTCTTGATACTAAGCAAGGCAGGCAATGCAGGCCAAAAGAACAAGAACTAAATACAACTTTAAGGCATTTTAGTTCTAAGAATTAAGGATCTTATGGATTCACCTGCCTTCTTGAAATGCCTGTCACTAAATTCTTCCAAGGATATCAGAGTGGCATGATGAAGTTGTGCTGGACAGACTTAGGTAAGAAGCTGGTTGCTCCTTTAATTCTAAGACCACACACAGATAAGTGGCTTTGGGGCCCCAGCCATTTCTTTATGGTAATCCTGAAGCATAAACAAGGAGAAGAAAAAAAAAAAAAAAGGAAATACTAAATGGGTATATGTTTATTTAAAGTTGGGATAAGAAAGGCTGTTCCAAGCATGATGCCAGAGACAAAAATCAGTGAAATAACAGAAAACAAATTAATAGAAAAAACTGAATGTCAGTGCTTTCAAATTTGTGTAAGAATAGAAAGCAAATGGCAAACTGAAAAAAAATGAAAAAAACAAAAAAAAGAGACTGCAAAGGGTTAATGCCCTTTCTATGTAAAGAGCACTTATTCTTGAATAAGAAAATTACAAATTACCCCAAAGGAACAAAAGGATGTAAGTGAACAAAAGTTATAATTAAGAAATTCACAAATGGAGACAGAAAAATGGCCAATAAACATATGAAAATATTCAATTTCACTAATAATCAGATAAATGCAAATTATAACCATATATTTCATTTTCAGGATAACAAATTATTGTTTTAAGATTATGCAGTATAATGAGGTTAGGAGAAAATGTACACTTTCAAACACTGATGGGAAG